GTGCAGAGAATGTGTGTGGCTTGGAATAGTGTTACACCTAATGCAGTACAAAAGGCTTAAGGAAAGCTTGCTTTTTGTCCCATCAAGATACTGGAACAATTGATGAAACAGATGGATAAGGACTACAAGAATCCGAAGAAGAAAGGAGGGAGTTTGCAACACACGAGAATGCACTGGACAGTCAATTCAATGACTTGGTTTGTGTTAACTTCAGTGTTGAGGTACTTGGAGCCCTTGCTTGCATCAGAAATGAGAACAGATGCTTGAAGATGTTCAGAAGAGAAGAGATGAAGACGATTGTCAACAAAAACCAAATACAAGTGAAGTGAATATTGCACTTAATTTATTAGTTGTCCGTTATGTTGTCGGACAATTAGATTAAAAACATATAAGTGTTCCATGAACTTGAGTGTGCTGTTACAAATAGTTTAAGAGCTCATAAAACACAACCTAAAATTACTAATTTTTTTCTAGCAAAAATTTACATTAATTGTTCATGAAATTAATGTACAATTAAAAGATAATAAATGAAATTACATATAATTATGTGTCACATTATTTATCATAATTTAGAAAACTTCCTTTATAAATAAATAACTCCATAATTAATGTAAAGTTTCGTCTCCTTAACTTATTAATTAGAGAGTTTATTGTAGTTATCATACTCGTGAGCAAATACATACTATCTTTATCATCTTATATAATAAATTCCTGTTATAAACATCAAGATACAAATTTTAAAAAGCAATATTAAATGGTAATAAAAATATTTGCATTACGTATAACCAAGAATTCAGTAATCAAACCATTCCCCATTCTTATAGCAGTGCCCTCTCATTGCACCTACAAAAGAATATAAATGTAATTATTGTTCCTCCATCAAGATTCTGTCAATGAATTTGTTTGGTACCTATTTTAAAGCTAATATTGATTATATATTTGTGGTTTTATCTCTGCAAATGCTGTATAAAATTATTATATTGCATTAAAATTAATTCTTACCAATGCTTGAATGCTGGCGGAATGCAACGGAATGGCGTTCCGGAACCTCGGGAATTATTAAAATATATTATAAATATGTTACGATATCTATTAAATTAATAATTAATGTAGGGCGCGTTCTAGACCTAAAATTTTATAACTCGAGCACTGATTCTTACTGTCCCGCTCTTTCGAGACGAAAATGTATTGTAATAGGGCGCCGGAAAACGGCGAATTTTCTTTACAAAAACTCGTATTGCCAGTCCCGGGTAACGAAAATGTGGATAAATCTTGCTCATAAATATAGTAAATCCTCCAACACGTGCTGTCAGTATCCGAATTTTGTGTACCTTTAATGCCGAAAAATCGATTGACGGGAAAACGTCTCTTCGTAGGTCTGTCCGTCCGTCCGCCCGCCCGTCCGTGGTCAATGTTAGCGCCTAATCCGTTCAGTGGATTTTCTCCAAAATGGATATTCCCGATCAATCTGAATGAACTTGAGGCTTTAAGAGTTCGAAATGGATATTTTTATTTTAAAGGTACTTTACATGAAGCCTCAGCCCCTTACATTTTCGTTGAAATCCCTGATTTTTTCGAAAATTGCAAGGGTGAAATTTTTTGTTGGCTTCTTTCTACTACCGCAATATTGAAGAGAGATTTTTTTCCTAAATGAAATCTGTTCCGTAAAGACATCTTAAAATAAGGTCATTCACAATTTTTCGAAAATATGAATAGTTAACGCGTACTCTTGTGCGAAATTTTGGTAATTTTAAATTTTGTTAAACAACTTTTTTTTTTAAAAAACAACGCTCAAAATTTTCTCCTCTTATGTATCAAGGGACGGTAAAAAATATGGGGATAGTTCCTTTTTTTGGGGAACTCGTATTTTCGAAAATTGCAAAAAGTTCACATTGTAAAACTACAAAAATGAAGATACACTTCTTCCTTACACAAAGATAGATAATTTAGAAATAAATTGAGAAAATATGTGATGTAGCACCGATTATTTATTTATTAATAAAAGAACTTAAGTTCAATTCAGAAAGGTTTTACGTAACGGATTAAGCATGTTGGACGTCAAATGTAACGGATTATTCGTGATGGACTTCAAACGTAATGGATTAAAGCACGTGAGGCGTCAAATATAACTGATCAAAGCACTTCGGGTGTCAAATATAACGGATTAAGCACTTAGGCGTCAAATGTATCGGATTGAAGCACGTTGGCCGTCAAATGTAACGGACTAAAACACGGTGGGCGTCAAATATATTGTATTGTGCACGTTGGGAGAAAAAAAATTAAAAGATAAAAGCACGTTGTTCGTTAAATGGAATGGATTATGCTGGTTGGGTGACAAATGTAAAGGATTACAGCATGTCAGGCATCAAGTGTAAAGGTTTAAGCTCGTTGAAAGAAATTACAGGGCAAGTAGTTCAGGGCCTGCATGCACGGTATTTGGGTGCCATGTGCAATATTGAGCTGAACTGGAAGGTTGCCGGCTGTATGATTCTACTTAGTTAAGCAAAAGATAAAATTCTTTGAAAAGCAGCTCGTCAGAGTGAGGGTGCAGATTTATTTGATTGAAAGTAAAATAGTAAACACATAAATAACTCTGGCATTAATATATTGCTTGGTGAGTTCACAATTCTCTTAAGGTTTTTTGTCCGTGGAATATTATAATGAACCAGGGGAAGTGATAACTTGTCCGGTTCATTTACCTGGACCAATGGTCTCGAACCTTCGATAATTGCACGCCGACAGTTGGGCACGGGCTGGCTGATGAATGGCTGTGTCCGGGGCGCCCCGATATCGCGACACGACGATACCTCTGGTGACACCCATCCGTTAGTGACTGCCTTGGGTTCTCCAATAACTTGGCTGCATTCGTCAGGCCAGTCCGAAAAGGGACTTCGTTGGTAAGGCCTCGTTTATGTGTTAAAATGATTTGTACAAATACCGTAGGCTCGCATGCGCAAAGTACGGCCGTCACACGTTACCGACTTAAGTTTTCGCGACAAGTGTCGCCTGTTGGTGCATTACTTATTTAATTGTATATTTTGATAATTTCGACTGCGGTTGTTCTCACGAAATTTTTTAATAACAGAGTTCGAAGACTTGCGTAATAGTTGAAGACGTTTGGCTTAAGTAATTGGAAAATGCAGATTTTTTCAGAAGTGCTTGGCTGGAATGTTCGAAGATTTTGTGAATGGCTGAGATGTTCGAAGATTTTATCTCGGATGATCGTTGCATTCGAAGCTCCTCCATGAAAAAAAGAAATCCCCCCTCCTTTCGTGCGTGGGACCCGTCGTCACGTGAATATGAACTACGTGGATATATGTTAATCTGTACTAATAGAAGTAAATTCAATGGCTTGTAACCCACATCGATACAAAAGTAGTGTAAGAATGGGTACGATTTTTTTTACAGGCTCTTCTTCAGGATTGTTGCATTGTCCTTGCAAAGTTTAATAAAGATTAATACGACACAAATGCGGGAAATAAATAATTTAAATAATGTATTGATATATGCACAATTATTTATCATTATTTTCGCCTATCGCTAAGAGCAAATTGTTTCCTAATATATTCGGCCAGAGGCCAGTAGCGTGAGGCAAAACTGTTACCCAATAGATTCGCTAGAGGCCAGTAGCAGTGCGTAAAATAAAAATGTTTAATCTAATAGAAATATACTGTGAAATAAAATTAACAAAAATTATAGTATTTTATGAAAGTTTGAACCAATTACTGTACAAATACTAATCTTTAACGCAGTGGTTTATATAAAATTGATCTTTTTCCTTTTCTGTTTTTTTTCAACTGTTTTTAAGTCGGAATGCCGGGAGCGCAGACCGGGAGAGGTGGCTCAGGACATCAACTGATGTCACTGCAGGGCCTCTGACCGGGAGGTCCTAGGTACTAGTCCCGTCAGTGGCAGGATTTTCTACACTAGCTAGATCGCTACGTGGAGTTCAGTCGCTTTCAGAAGGAGAATTCTAGTGGTCGGCTGCTGTGATCGGTAGTTTTCCGTGGTTTCTCCGATCATCGCTAGGCGAATGTCGGATCACTACCCTAACAGGCCATGGACCGCGCGCAGTTTTTCCTTCATCATTGTTCTACCCTCACCCTTCACTTAAACACACTTACACTTACATGCAGTACACTGCCACAAATTCCGGGAGACCGTTCGGGAGCTTAGAGCTTGTCGCGGCGAGGGCGGTGCCTCGCTGGTGGAAGATTCCTGATTGGAGATAACCCCACTAGCCGACGGTAAGTCGGCGTCAGAGCTCACCATAAAATGGGGGAAGATACATGCCACCTCCCGAGGAAAAAACTTGCACTACACTTACAGGACTAACGACTTTAACGGTTGACGCGCCCGGAACCACTAATGAATCAGTAAAAAAAAATGATATGTGACGAATAATTCATTAATTTTGCGCGGAGGGATTGGGGGACTTGGCTGCTTGTTTCGTGTTGGGGCAGTGGCTGTCACTCTGATGAAGTTTGTGCCCCTGCATAGGCGCGGCGAGCGCATGGGGCCGTCGTGGTGCTCTCAATAGCTCCTGAAGGGAGATGAACCGTCGACGAGTTGCCTCTGCCCAGTTATAGTACCCTGTTCCTCTGCTCGTCTTCTCTTTCTGTAGGCGAGAGCGTCTTTTTCGTTGGGGACGAGCTGTAGACGTACGGACACATGCGAGACTTACTGCTCTTTTGGCACTCACACATTTGGCGAAGGGCTGCTCGCTTGGCGCCCACGCCACTGGTTGGTGCATGACGAATTAGCATTTGGGGGAGCGAGGTTGCGGGGTTTGTATATGCGACTCATTGCACTTCGGTAAGACGACTAGAGATCACCCATAAAAAGAATAACTCGTGGAAAATTTCAGGAAAAATTCTTCAAAATATTATTGTAGTTAAACTTAATAATGTGTGTATTTATATTGTTTAATAATGTGGACAAAATGTTCATAAAACTGTAATGAAATAAATAAATAATGTAATTGTGTTTTGTTTTCACAGACGGCCGGCCATTACCAAGAGGTTCTGGCATGGGGCTGGGTAGCTTGGGGCTCTGGAGCAGGGACAGAGGCAGGGGCCACCCCTCAGTGCTGCGAGACTGTCAGTGAGTTGGGAGTCATTCAAGTGGTCTGCGCTGAGCGTTGCCTCCTGGTGCTTGGTTCTGGAGGCCGTGTTTATGTTCTTTACTACAGTTCTGAGACTCAGGTTAGAATCATACAATTCATTTAATGACAGAAAAATTGAATCACTTAATCAGTTTAAAATATGGAGTAGTTTACTTTTCTATATTTTCAATCAAATTACCTTGCATGTTTAAATATCAAGATTAATATGGTTAAATAATGTTAAGATCAGTAGTGAGAAAACTACCTAATCCTGATATTAAATTATTTTTCATTTACTTATGTATGTTTATATAGGACTCTACTTTTAATTGCTAATATTTGTAAACTATTTTAAAATTACATAATGTATTGTAATTTGGCAAGTCTGTTAGATATACCTACTCTCGTGATGGGAATTAATTAGTTTAATGTTATTTGCAGTGCCCTCAACAAGTAGATGGATTTGGAGAAAAAGAAGTCATTCAGTTAGCAGCCCATCCAGATGGCAAACACTTCTTGGCTCTTACACGTGATGGTGATGTTTATTCATGGGGCACTGGTGATGGAGGACGCTTGGGTCATGGCGATAACAATTCGCGGGATGAACCTACCCTAGTTCAAGGCCTTGTTGGTCGCAACATCGTGCGCATTGCTTGTGGAAGTACTTACAGGTACTTTTTTCTAATGTATGAATATTGAGGACATTGTAAAACATGAGGCACTGTACAAGATGTATAGCGCATCACAAAAGTCTCTTCACAGTGGCACCTTGCTGGTGAGAGAGCTTGCAACTGAAATTATATTTCTAGCTCGAGCTGCAGCTTGAAACAAAGGAAACATAAATTGTGAACTTACCACAATCATAAGAGATGCTGGAACAGTTGAACCCTGCACTTGTTTCCTAGTGATGTGGTTGCTGCCAACATAAATGCAATTTTTGATAAGAGGCTCTGACTGGGCTTGGTTCAAAAAGACTTTTCTGGCGCACAGTATCAGAAACGTGGAAAATTGCAGCAAATGTATTGAATGTTGCTGGTTCATGACTCTTTAAAAACAGAAGTTATTGTTGCAATTCTGCATTGCTTTGTAATTGTGCACACTAAATGTCATTTTAATAATAACACTTTGGCAGAAGGCAGTATTTTGTACTCATGTTTTCATTTCTCAGTGCAGCAGTGTCTGCCTGTGGTGAACTGTATACTTGGGGGCGAGGGAATTATGGTCGCTTGGGTCATGGTAGCAGCGAAGATCACTCTGTTCCAACAGTTGTTGCTGGTTTGAAAGGTAAAATAGGACTTGAAAAGCATATTACGATATTACGAAGCAGCTTCTTACGATGTGTTTCTAAAACTGTCGGATGTTGCAGGACATCGTGTGGTGGATGTGGCTTGTGGAAGTGGGGATGCACAGACGCTTGCTGTGACTGATGCTGGACTTGTGTTTTCCTGGGGAGATGGGGATTACGGGAAACTTGGTGAGTAAATGTTTTCAATTATTAGAAATGTAGCTTAAAGAGTTGGATGCTTGCTTATGTATTGTGACATGGTGTGGCTTTCTCAACCATCATGCATCATCTTCCAACCCTCATCTTTTACATACCAGCCTGGAAGTGGCTGGGGCTTATGGAAGCAATGTTGATGTATGTTACATCAAGGCTGTGGAGTCAAATGGGATGCATTTTATGTGCTGTAGCATTGTAGGGCTGACTCAACCTTCAAGTATCCCATTCCAAACTCACTTCCATCCCATTCCAGATGAGTTATCCATTCTCACAGGAGCTTAGCTAAGGTGGGCTTTGTTGGAAGGGCCAAAGGGCCTCTTCCAGCAACTGAGAGGGAAGGGGTCCATCCTGGCAATATCTGGAAGGAATATGAGATGTCTCAGAAATGTGCGGCAAGGAACATCTGTGTGTCAGGATGGGTGGTTCACGGAGGGGGGGGGTCGTAAACTACCCCAAAATTTAAATATTGGTTTCAAATTCCAGTTACTGCATCATCAGCCGAATCGATTGGGAAATATCAATTTTAGAGCAAATTGGCTGAATGGTGTAGCCATTAGCATTGTTCAAATTCAGATGTTTTGCCATGAATCAAGTTTTCAGTATCAAGGACCCATAAAACATGGATTCTAGCTATACCGTGCGTTAGAAGATTTGTTTTTCTAAATTTAACAACTGGATTTATCCACTTTTTTGTTACCAGGGTCCTGTAATAAGCGTTTTTCTGCTGAACATTTGCTGTGTTTTCATGCAGTATTATGTAACTTTCTCCCTATCGCGATAATGGTAGCAAGAAAGTAAAAATGTTTTGTAATGTGGAAAACTGAACCTGGAAAATTAAATTCTGTCACCTGGAAAACAACTTGTATTCCAAAACACCAGATCACTGGCCACCTGATTAGATACCTAGCATAAAAAAGTAAAATAATATCGATTTGAAAAATTTTATTTTGCATTAGTTACCATTTATACTGTTTAATTCTAAAAGACTAAATATGCCTGTTACAAGTATTGTGCCTCAGCCTCCTGATCTATGATCCCCATCTCAATTAGGTTAGTTGTGAAGTTTCCTTTGATCTGTTGAACAAATACTGAGATGGCCCTTTCTTTTGCTTTTGGACATAATGTACCTTCACTATCTGTGCATGTTTTCTAGAGCTCAGTGGGAAATAAGTTATTCAAATAATTGATCTCTGTGTTCTCATATTAGAAAGTCAGTTTCTTCACCTGGTGCAAGATAAGGGATAACAGTCAAAAGTTCATTTACAGTTTATTACATTAAGGAGATTCATATGAATAGAGCCGGTTCAAAAGAGTGCAATTAAAGTAGGGTCAAAACAGTTTTTGTGTTAGAAATATTGTAAATGTCAGTAGCAATCAGAATAAATATTATGACTGCATTTGCATTGGGATTGCACTAAATTTTAATATGAAATGACAAATTTCCTGTGTATAATTTGTAAACCACAAACCATGTAATTCTATCATATGTGTAAATGCTTTTGTTTGCAGGTCGAGGGGGAAGTGATGGCTCCAAGCAACCAAAACAAGTAGACAAACTGTCGGGTGTGGATGTGGTGCGTGTGTACTGTGGTGCACAATTCAGCCTAGCACTTACTCGCAATGGATCTGTTTACTCTTGGGGAAAGGGTGATGCATTTCGCTTGGGGCACGCCTCTGAAGAACATGTACGATTCCCCAAGTTAGTGGAAGGCCTGCAAGGTAAAACTTAAAAACAATTCTGTAGTCAGTTAATAGTCATTTGAAATGCTGGTTTCTGAAATTTTTGAAGTTTTTGGAACATGTTTCTCTTTATAAAGATTATATTACCATGAAAATTATTAAAGTGAAACTTTCTTTTATGTCTAAAATCTTGTGAAAGTTGTCAGAACTTCCCCAATGGGGAAAAGTTTCTTTTTTATCAACTCCTTTATTTGTTATATCTTCATTTTTGGCTTTCTCAACATAATGTTGATTAAATCATTTTTTTTATTGTAACTTCAAATATGCTTCACATTTTTTGCCATAACAACATTGTGACTTACAAACTTGGGATGGTATTCTTTGCATTGATAATGTGCTTGTAGAAAGTTGCCAAACATGTGACTATAAAATAATTTTATCTACACTTATACAATATTGGATTATAATCTCCCTCATATAGATGCTATAAAAAGTTTTGTTCTAACACCAGTTCTGTAATGAATTTATTGTAGCACTAGAAGGATTATAACATCATTATAACACTTGTATATGAAGTCTGAAGAAAGGGGTCTTTGAAAGAAACAAGTTATAGTACTATATTAATTTAGACATTCATGTATATTAATCATAAAAACAAATCAACTCCCTGTTCTCACTTGTTCACATTGCTCATTGTCAACCAGTTTGTAAGCCTGTCTATTCTTTCAACCTGTTCTACTCTTTGTTCTCATTGGTTATCCCAACTTTTCATCTAACTACCAATCCTGAATGTCATTTCCCCTTCCAGTTCTCATTGCCCAATTCATGAAGACAGCACTGCGATTCAGTAAAATCATTAGGATTAGTGACAAAATAAATTATGAGTTCTAATTAAGCACTTTTATATAATGATAGAAAAAGTGTATCATTTTTGTGTCTTGCTTGTAGGGCGGCGTGTAGTCCAGTTGGCTGTGGGGTCAGTGCATGTCCTAGCATTGACAGATGAAGGAGAGGTTCTGGGTTGGGGTCGGAATGATTATGCTCAAGTCGGAGAAGGCAGCAGTGCTGCTGTCCTGGAACCTCAGCCTCTTGCGTCTCTCCATGGCAAAGTTATCATTGGAGTTGGATGTGGTCCTGCTCAGGTATTGTCAATTTGATATTTTGTTCTTTCTTTTCCAAGTATTTATATATCATTTGGATGATTAGAAATTATGATGCATTGATATGCATTAGTGCAAAACTTGTTGATTCGCAGCACAATACTTCCGAGAACTTCATTGAACCAATTCAGGGGTGCAACTAAAATTTTTCTAGGAGGTGGTGAGGGAGAGTCCTGCTGATTTAATGTGTTTGAAGTATGCTGATAATGTGCTGAAAATCAAATATTTTTCAATTATGTTGAATTTAAAGTCAATTTTTGTGTTTGTTGATTTACAGTTATTTTTAATGTATTCAATGAAGATACTGAATGATTTTTATTACTATAGAAAAAATATTTATGAATATGTGTCATTGGCTTCCAGAAGTCATGATTGACACTAGTATAAATTTTATTGCTGAAATTTCAATTTAAGCAACAGAAACATTTCTAGTTAAATTTGAGAAATTGCAGAGAAATACTAAAATGATAACCAAAGTTCTTATTTTGTCAGCACTGCACACTTTTTGTGAATTTTTTAAAATATCTTGCATTCTAAATTTTCATAGTTTGTTAAAAATTTTAATCGTTGTAAATGTTGAAGAATTTTCTAATCAAAATATTGTCATAGAAATATGTTTTAGATATATAATCTACATCTCTGGGAGAGATTGAAAAATATCAGCCATAAACGTACCCAGCTTGTTTTATAGGATTCCATTTTTTCTAGACTAGGATTGCAATTCATCTAAAAGATTTGTTTGCCTTTCTTTCCAGAGCTTTGCTTGGAGCAGCAGTAGTAGCTGGAGTGTGGCTCTGCGTGTGCCCTTTGTGGTAGATGTATGTGAACGAACTTTCTCTCTACTTGAAGAACTTTTGGGCCACGTGGCCGAGGGCATGGGAGGAGGAAGTGCGGACTGGCCTCCACCGCAGGAGAGAGAATGCGTAGCTGTGGCAGCTCTGCATCTTCTACGCTTGCAGCTGCATGCACTTACAGCTCATAGCTTGGAGTCGCGCACTGTGGGGCTAGCTGCTGGCTCTCCTCTTTTGGCTGCTCTCAAGCAGCGAGTTGTGGAGCTGGCAAGTGCTCCTGGCGTGCTTGGTTCTGTGCAAAGGGCTGCACAAGCCACTCTTCAGACAGGGTGGAGTGTTTTGCTGCCTACTGCTGATGAGCGTGCCCGAACGCTATCAGCTCTACTCCCAGGTTCTGGTGAGCAGATTGTCCAAAAATAGCACTGAAGCAAATACAATGTTTCTCTCTTGATCACTTTACTTTAATTGTTCTCTCTTGCTCCTGTAAATGGTTTTACTCTTTGAACATACTATTACATGCGTTTAAAATTGACACAATTATAAAAAGTATTTTCGCAGAACCATTTTTTAAATTCTAATTTTTATCTGTTGTGCATTCATAGCTGTCAGTTGTGGAAATGGGGATTTTTTTTATTCTAATAACAAGTTTGATTACAGGATCAGATCCATCATCTTTAAGTTCAGGACATCGTTTTATGACCGATTTGTTAGTAAGCAGCCTAATGGCTGATGGTGGACTTGAGAGTGCCCTGAGAGCTGCTTTCAAAGGTGATTCTAGATATTTATATTTTAATTTTTGATTTTCAATGAAATGTCTGTTATAGTCTTGTCAATCCTGTTTTTTGTATTTATGGTGCATTCAAGAAAACATACAATTAGTGTGGAAATGATTTAATTCATTGATCAATGATTACTTCTTCAACAGAGTGAAATGCATGATTTTTTATTTGATGTGTGTTGTGATGTTCATTCAATGTGATCTTACCTCTAATCCTTTTGTGAGTGGTACATTACATGTCGGATGTCAAATAGCTAAACATGTCGGATAATCGATGTAAGTGTCAGGTTGTGCACATAGTGTGGTTGCCCAGGTGGTGGCTGAATATCAATAACTTACCTGGTTTCTTATCACCACAGCTTGAGACTCTAGGCTCTCACAGAGTCTTGGAAGCTCTGAGTTAGAAATTGTGTTAACTTACTTTAAAAAAATTTTGTTCAACTTATCTAAAGTAAACATTCACATACACACATACACCAATACATGAATTTCTTACACATTGTCACTCCTTGATCCATAAATCAAATTATTTACTTCTTTCTTTTTTTAACAATTTTTCACTTATACAAAATTCAGATAAATAAATGTAGACCAAGGTGGGTCAGTATATTCCAAGGACCGTTCAAGACTTCTGATTACTTCTAACCCACTATTCTCCCTCTGTTGTGTGGCTGCAGAAAACACATCTTTTACATAGATTTAGTAAAGATTTTCATTGTCTTAGATTCGATAAGATGGTTCCTGTGCCTATGGCAGTGTCACCTTGTTTAGTCCATGACCATCTTTTGTCAAGAAATGACAATTCAGTCAGTCAGAGCACTTTCAGAGTAAACCGCTATTAATTACAGCGTGGGAGTAATCCTCTATTAATTAACATGGTCCATCACCTCTCATCTCAGTCAGTTGCCAAAGGACCGCCAGGTAGCATCATGTTGTAGGTACCCCTCTCTTATGCGCTCCTACATTACTACCCAGCGGTCAGAATTAGGAAAGGGGTATGGTTAAAGGCACTTCGTAGGGGTTGGACTAGCCCTTGCGAAAGAGCCAAACTCGTTTTGTCGGAACAATTTTCTTATGTGATAGTCCGGAAATTAAATCCATATTAAATGCAGAGCTTTCAAATATAATCTCTCAACTATCACAACGTTTCATCAAAGTTGGATATTTCAAAGTCCACTATCCTCTGTGGGGCTCCTCTTGAACTCGTCCAAGCAAGGAGATCAATTGTGGAAACAGCTATAGAGAATTACAATCTAATTCAGTTAAACACAGGTCTCCACACCTATTTTTCAGTTGACCTCATATATAGATTTAGCCATCTGTTAGAAATTCTATGGCCCAACCCTGGACTAAATTGTTTTGATATTTATTAAGGAGTGATCAATACCCAGCCTTGTTGCATATGAATGTCCTCGTTCCATTTCCTTTCCGCCCCCTCTCTGGATTTTTCAATGAGTGGACTGGCCAGATTTTGAGTGCTCTCTGCTTCACTGATTGACGTTTTGAGAACAACAATATAGTGACCTCCTATATTACTAATGCTGTAATTGCTGCTGCCACAGTTGTCATTCCTAGATCAACTGGTGATCTGATACGTTATTCAATGCCATGGTGGAACTATATTGAGTTAATATAATCAAAACCAGAAAAAGGTACTAGCACAGCTGAGCCATTTTACAACTGTTGAAAACACTGAAGAATATAAACAGTCATATGTCCAAACGAGAAGAGTAATCATCTTCCTGGAGAGCCTAGAAATATTTGTTAATGTGTCACACCTCTTCGAATGCCGTCTTGATGAAATTATGGAAAATTAAAGGAACCCTCCCTATATCTGCAGTGCCTCGGTTTTTAGTGAACGGTCAGGTGTGCCAACTTTGCCATAAACAATAACCGAGGCACTGGTTTACTGTTGTGAGATGTCAGCTGGTGAGGACTTCTCCTTCCGCACACCTCACTATCTCTGCTCAGAGTGAGATTTAGAGGACATTGTCAAACGGTGATGCACTACCAATGTTGCTCTAGCAATTTGCTTAAATGTCTGTCGTTGTTGTTTGGGCAGCAGTAATCAATCTCCATACCTGCATGGTGGGTGTGCCGTTTCTCCCCTACGGTCAACAGAATGCGTAGCAGTTGTGCTGTAGTTGTTTTTAAAAAACTTGTGTCAGGCACAGCAGCCTTAGAAATCTCCTTCTCTAAAAAAAAAAGTCCTGGGCGCTCTTACTCAATAAGGGGCCTTTAAAACTTCCTTTCTGTAGTGCAAAAACTGTTTTGACCAGTGCACTGTCATAATGAATTTTTGACACTACATGCAATGGGCAGGGAGGGTGACCTCCTCCCGTCTCCGCCAGAGCCTCTTCCAGGGCCGGTTGCTTTGATGCCTGCTTCCCTCCCCCTTCGAGCTCTTGTAACCTTTGTTTCCTTCAAAGAGCAATGCCACTACGCATTGTGCCATTGTGCCACCACAAAGTGCAATCCCCCCTGCCACTGACAATCAAATGGCTGAGGCCTGATGTGTTGTGACTTCATCATCTCGTTCTCAGAGATCGTGTACTGTTGCATTTGTGTTCCTTTTGTTTTTGCCACAAGTACTTCGAATTTGAACCTTCCTGTTTATTTTTTGCTAATACATGTTGTTTGTCTACAGCAGAAGGAGGATCTGGCAGTGGTTCTCAGAACACAACTCGCAATTCAGAACAAGCAGAAAGTAAACGAGCCAAGGATGCTTCTTTGCATGAAAAGAATGGTCAAGGGAGTTCAGCTGTACCTCTATTACATCTTGTGAAATTACTATTAAGGTACAGTGACAACCATTGTCTGCATGATTTGTTTCAATTAATTAAATATTTTTTATTCTGTCTTTTTTGTTGATTTGCTGAATAATGACAAAAGCTCATGTTGACCACAAACATGTATTTAATTCTCGATATCTTAAGTTCTTTTGTGTTGATCATTCAGAACTTCATTTCAAATTCTCAGAAATTTATTTCTGGAACTTATTAAGGATGGCAAAATGTTATAGTTATTTTAGTATAAAAGCTAAAAAAAAGCTTGGAATGGGTAAATAAAGATTTAAATTTCCCTCATTGAATGGAAACTCAAAGACACAAAACAAAAAAACTAGTGGTGCTTAGACTTTCTCATAGCAAAGTTTCATAATTTCCTTGTTGTTTGCTTTATGGTCTTGCTCCATCCTCGTGTCAGCTGCCATCTATTGCTGCCTAAACTACATTTTGAAATTTTTTCAATTTTGCGGTTTTATAATGGTAGGTTCCAAATATTACTTTTAAAATATTAAGGAAGAGTAAAACCTTGTCCCGTATGGAAATTTTTGATGAAAAATTTGGAGCACTTTTGAAGGAAAAATCATTTAGACTGTAGTGTAAATGCAAATTTGAAGCTCTTTTTCGCAGAAATCTTTTGAGTTTTCGAAAAAACATTATTGGAAATCATATAAATATCTCCACTCCAAAAGAAAGTAATGTATACAAATCACTGGAAATTAATCTGTATATTAATCACATGGAGGTATTAAAATAAATTACATTTGTATATCTTTTGAAAAAACCAAAGAATACAGCAAAATGAATTTTATGTTATCTTAAACAGTGCAATTAGCAAGATCCGTACGAAAAGTTTGAAAAAAAAATTTGGAGCGTGTTTTGAGAAAATGGCATTTAACAATTTCTGAAAATGCGGAATTTTGAGCTTATTTTCTCAGAAAACTTTTGTATTTCTAGAATCTGTATAAGACATAATTTAAAGCACATATACTTGGAAATGCAATACTGTGAACAAATCACCACTAATGTAAATATTAACTAGACTATTGCATTTTGTTTTGAGAAACCTGAATTGCAATTTACAACTGTTAATAGTGTTAGCAATCTTTTTATTGTAATGTACTGATTCTAACTATTGCGTGGCATTTTTTGGTAACACATAAGATGTTTTACACACATATTTATGATAAATAAAACAAAATTATATTTTTCTAAAGGCTACAATTTATAGTTTTGTGATGTTGGAAAATGAATTATTTTTATGAAGAAAATAAAAACCAGATGTCACTCATCTTTTTTTTCTTCTCACCATTTTACTCTTTACTGGTCAGTTGATATTTTGTTCCTGTCTTTGTTTAATTTGTCCCATCAATATTTGTTTTTATAGTATATTTGCATCTTAACCTTAATGTATTGATATAATAAAAACAATTAAAGTAATGAAAATAACACAATAAAATTCTTGCATATATCAATTCAAGTTTATTACAAGGCAACCCAAAGGATTACAAATCATATTTAAGTATCGTGCATAACATGTAATGTGGTCTTTCTAGTTTGTAGTGTTCCTCAAAAAATTTGATAACTTAATTTTGAACAAATACTTAATTTTTTAATGCCTATAAAATATGTAGTGAAATTCACTTGTGTAAATTTTACAATACCTGTACTGGCGATTGTTTCTAATATTCCTTACACATTGGCTTATACTCTGGCATAATACTGCAAAATCTCTTTCCAGGAAATTAGTTTTAATTTCAAATTCTTCCGTTGCAAAGTATCTTCTGTATTTTCCAGAAACGCTGCAGCAGTGACCCAAGCGCAACTTACAACGCTACAGTCTGGTTCTGGCTCTAGTGGTGGGCCCGTGGGCGGTCGACGGGAGGGACGTGAACGAACAGAGCGCTCTCCGAGTCTCAGTTTACTCCTTCGTTTCCAGCGGCTCCTGGTGGCGCACCTATATACACGTGCTCAGGAGGCCAAGCAGCCTCAACAGCAGCCGCAGCAGGGTAGGATTATTTTTGCGACCTTCGATTTCCCTTTTTATTTACGCAAAAATAGGGTAGTGATTGTTAACTATGAGTGAAAAATAACAATTTTAAAGTAATTATAAATAATGGGCAATTCCTTTCATGTTAAAGCAATAGTGGGCATAGAAGCTTTATCCTTCAATTTATGACAATCAAAGCATAGTTAATTATGTGAACTGGGTTTTGATTCTCATAAGTTGAAGGATACAGCTCCTATGCCCAGAATTAGATCAGAATATCACACTGAGATCTTTTAATAAGCAAGTAGGGGAAAAAATGAGGTTAAAAACCAAAGTTCATTCACATATATTAGTTTTTGAAAAGATATGAAAATTGAAGCTTTCATTATGTTAATTTTTATTAAAATTATATTAGTTAGACAGTGTTAGTGATACAATATTATTGCACCATGTGCATATGAATGTAGAGATGTTGAAGGATGTAAATTTGATGGCATGTGGTTAGATTATTTATTTTTGATTAGAATTGTTGGATACTGTCTGATTGTAGAGTGATCCGTTCATTGACAGTGTTAAATATGAAGTCAGTGTATGAGTCATTACCAAATTCTTAAGATGTGTTTCTCAACTGTTTCAGATTTGGAAGTTGCAGGAGCTGAAGCACTCTTAACGAAGTATATTTGCCTGTTAGTGAGTCATGCTACTGACATTCTTCCACAAGCAGTAGGATTAGCTGCTGTACAGCCAAAATTATATCCACTTATTGCTGCAGCTTTGAGAGCTGATGTAATTGGTGAGTAATTATTTGTCATTTACAGTAGGATTTGCGGTTCCTCTTGTAGCAAAAGATATTTGTCTCATTTCACTGAAGTTTCTCAAACATATTTTTGAAGAAATCATTATTGGATGTGTGAATCTTGCTTTATTGAACATGAGGTAACATCTGAGCAACATTTTGTTACATTGTGTTTACAAATTAACCAATGCATCATGTTTTTTGTGGCTTTCTTTACAGATGTTTTACTTCCTGAACTGTTGGTGTGTATGGTTCTTCTTCAGTTAGAGCTGCCTCTTTTGCTCTTGGGAGAGGATTGGCTTACCCTTTTTGCTCCACTGCTAGATGCACTGGATTGTTTTAATAGGTTGGCTCCTGGGATTGAACGAGAAGACGCACAGGATCTCTCCTGGCCTGGCATCATTGGTAAGAATGCTTGTTTTGGATGAGGCTTCTCTAATTATCTTTTTGTTGTAGATGAGATCATAGAAACAAGTGCAGTTCAGCTGCAATTTAAGTGAGAAATATTTTTATTTTTCTATGAAAACACCAAAAATTACAAAAAATACATAAAATAACAGGAAAACACATTCAAATCAAATTAAATTTATCAAATCAAAAGTATATAAAAAGAACTTAACACATAAGATAATTAATGTGTCAATAGGATACTCCTTGCGTTTGACAAAAATTTAGTATTGTTTTCGTCGTTTAAGTTAGTAATAATTTGAGGGTTTCTGTGCAGCTCCTCAACAAGAAAGTGGTGTTCCAAAAGCACCTGAAGAATTGCCATTAATACGGAAAGCAGATTTAGAAAATCACAACCGTGATGGAGGACTTTGGATTGTTGTAAATCGCAAAGTCTATGATGTCCAAGACTTCAGGTGAGTTTCATTTACGTTTATAAGGGACCAAAAGCATTTTTAAATTGCAAGAAAATGCAAATGATGAAAAATGATTTACACGTTTTAACAAAATATTATAATTTGATAATCCTCCTGCAATGCAAAACACCTTTCCTTTCGATCAGGAGAGGGTTTTTTACTGCAACCTTTTGTAATGAACAGCTGAAACTAATGTTGCTTATATATGTCATCCACACTACTCACAAAGTACACTTCATGCAGTGGCTTCAAACAACTCATTTCTCATGAACACCAAAATTCACCCATGAGCCGCACTCGGCGTCAAGGGAAAAGACTTCGGGAGGGAACTGCGGGGCTGTAGAAAGCCTACCACAGCACATGCCATAGGTTCAAAATGAATTATCTATTGCTTTCTGGCCTTTGTTTTAACTTTCTTGCCTGAGTCATAAAGAGAAAGTATTGTAACCCAGACACAGAAATCAGTTTTTTTCAGTAGAAAAACCTTTATTGTGAGGCTCTGATATCGACGAAGTGGATAAATCTTGTTCCTATATGTAGTAAATTACTGCCTCTTAACACAATGCTACCACCTAAACTGTTTGGACGATTACCTCCAAAACATATATTCGCTGATTGAGCTGGAGCACAGTACTAGTAAATTTCCTGGTGCGAGTCTAGTGCAAATAACTTGCATTACACAGAGAGCATAGGTGGAATTCGTAGTACCACACGAACTAGGAGGAGCCCTACTTCGCACAAAGAAAATGTTACTTTTGTTAGAGCTAACTGGGAACAGCCCGAGATTGCACAATAAACTGAATGCCCAAGTGGACTGATGCAGATAGCCTACACTACACAGACAGTACACTTCAAAGTTGCACATATCAACTGGGAACAGCCCGAGGTTGGACAGTAAACTTTTACATATGTTAATTACTCAAGGAGCCTGCCAACACGGCCCACACGTGTGGCTTTGTGAGCTGCTTGCTGTGGAAATGAATTGGCGGTTGAGCGTCATTAGATTGCCAGCACTTGTGTGCTCAGGGGGAGGGGATGGCAGTGGACAATCACAATTAGCCATTTGAATTTGGCGATAGAACGTACTGGAGGATTCCGTCAGTTGCAAACTGCTAATGGGCGGAGGGAGGCGAGGCTCGCACGTGTATTTCTGGGAAAGCCAAGACAGTTTCCGGTGATGTGATCTTATCAATGCAATGGTCGGGCGTTGCGCCGATTACAGGTCAACTGTTCTGCCTTCCGTCGTATGAAATAAAATTATATTTATTCTGCTTTGCTGTGGGCCCGAACACTCATTGATGCCAAGAAATTTTTGTTTCAAAATTTCAAAGCACTAATATTAAATTGTGAAATGATGAAACTCAAGGGACGGAGAAAATCTATAAACAATAGGAAAATCATAAATTCTGGGAAAGTGAAAGACAATGCTGTCCAGTATTAACTCAAGTGTTAGGTTTTGGAGCTAAATCATTTATCATTCATAAATCAGTAGTGAAAATGCAAAATTACAAAATTAAATTGAAATAATGGACAATTTTTTTAAAAAAGCAATTGAGCCTTTTTCTTCTTTACAAACAGAATATAAAGGTGCTGATTTAATGATATACTTTGAATATATGATTTTTTTTAGGGCTCAAGCACCTTGTGGATCAAGTACTTTACAGAGATTTGCAGGGCGTGATGCGACTCAGGCTTTTGAGGCTGCTGGTCATTCTCAGAGTGCTAAGGACACAATGGCAGCCTTTTTGGTTGGCCACTATTTGGATCCTGCAGAAGCCGCTGTTGTGGACTCCCCACGACATGATCCCAGTGGGCTGGCTGCGGGAGCTCCGGCATCAGGGCTACCACTACTTGACGTCCAAAGAACCCTGGCATTGCTTCTGGGTCTTCACGCGCATCGCCTGGCGCAAAGTAGTGCAACTCAGCCAGCTGAAGAGGAAGCTCGAGCGTGGCTGCATGCACCATTCTTACAGGTGATTTCAAAGACAAAGCATGGGTGTTTCATTTGCTTCTATGACTAGAAAGTAACAACTTGTTTGCTGATGAAAGATTATGACAGGGAAAAATTAACATAGTTAAAATACGCATCTCGGTTGACAATTCGTTTATAAATTATGTAGTTAAAATAATTTGCTTCTGTAAATGGTTCTTGTGCAAATTAGTGATTTCTTTGTTCTTCCAAAGACACTCTGAACTTACATTATGATCTTTATGTAAAACAATAATAGAGCTTCAAGAATGTTTCTTATTAAGCAAAGCTTCACATCTCCAACTGTAGCAGCAGCGCAAGAAATATTATTACTCATTGGACTTGTGTAAACTGTATTAGAAATAAGTTAAAAACTGCTCTACAGTTCACTGATAAGGTAAAAACTGGTGAAAAGTTTAAATATAAGATTATACATCTTTCCAGTATAAGATTACATTATAAGAAGCAGAAGTAAAATACTTCACAGGAAAAGGAACAGAAGGAGACATCAGATGGTAACAATTAACTACAATAGGGTATAATAAAGCATTTAAATTAGGAATATCAATAGAAGAAACACTGCGGGTGGAAGGAGGAGAATTCTGGCCTCAAGGTATTTAATATGGCCGTCTCGTAGACCCTACGGAAAGCAAGAAGGTGTCAGTGGCCCTCTTGTAGACCCTACAGAAGGCAAGAAGGTATCGTTTTACAAAAACAAAATAAGAATAAAATAGCTAAGAGTAGGAACATGGAATGTGACAGGAATCACATATAAAGAAGAAGAATGTACTTGAGAAATCAAAATCAGAATTACAGATTTAACTGTTATTTCGAAAACAAAAATAAAAGTAAAGGGACAAAGAAACTAAATATCACTATCTAATTTACTCAGGAACAAAAACATTTTACATCAGGAGTAGCATTACTAATCAAGATGGAATGGTCAAATAACATAAAAGATTGTAATTGGATATCTCCAAGACTAGTAACAATCGTAATAAGAATAGGAATTCACATGTTGAATTTAATAGGGGTATGTACACCAATAGAGGGAAGGTGAGTAGATACGATTATCTTTTAAAAAGAGCTACACAAATTGGTAGATACGACCTACAAGGAGGAATTCCTTATTGTAGCAGGAGATCTAAATGTCAGAATTGGAGAAACCAAAATGCTTCCATGCAAAGGACACAAAGGAAAGAGGTAATTCAATGAAAATAGGAAAACACTTGTAAATTTCTGTTTGCTCAACGACCTAAGAATCGCTAATAGCTTCTTTAAACAAAACAAAAAAACAACAACATAAAGTCACATGGGAGGTAAAGTATAAGAAATCTATTTTCCCTTATATAATTGTCAGTGGAAACTATTCAATAAAGTCAAGAATACAAAGGTGAAGGAAAAGAAGTCAAGTGATAAAATGCAAGTTTAAAAAATTTTTTTTGAGAGACGGCTTTGAGATTACATCCCATGTTTACAACCTATATAACAATCATGTTATTTACAAGGCCAAAGTGATTGCCAGCGCTTTGGTTCTCCAGAAAATTGGCAGAAATATAATTAAATGCACCTCAAGCTACTTTTTCACAATCACCCAACAATTCTCCAAAATTTGTATCTTTCATTAATTCACAGATCGTAGGGCCAATGAAAAATTCTTCTTTTACTTTTGTATCAATCACCATAAAATTTCATATAGAAGCATTCGAAGGCTTCACTTTTTTTGTTCATTGTCTTTATGAAATTTTTCATTAACACTTAATTTGATATGCAATGAAGGTAGTAAAATGTTTTTACTGAAAACCAGTGGGTTTTTTTTCTCCGGCTACTTAATATTCTTGCTGGGGGCCGTGATTGGTTTCAAAATGCTGTACCTTTGCTTTTGGGGAGAATTCTGTCATGTTTGTTAAACAAAAGTAACAGGCAGTGAAATGGTCTTAAGGTTCTCACCATATCATGGTCAGAGCAAATGGCATAGAAGGATGTGTATACCCAGCAACCATCCTCACGGATACTCATGGTTAGACCTCTTCCCATCTACCAAGAGACAATTATAGTATCATTCGATGCGTCTCAGACTCCTGGTGGGAACTGATTTGTTTTTAGATCCATCTAGACAATTGTAAGAACTTTCTCCAAAAATGTGTTTTGCGTATTTTAGCGCTGCGATATAGGGGTGGCTGTGTGGTTGTCACCATATGTAGCTGAGGCTCATAGCACCCAGACGATGGTTGACAGGTTGCTAGATACCCAGACGCCACTGTTTACGGTACGCGGTGCAGGCCTGGGATCACTCGGAAGGAAATTTATTGATTTATAATGTAGTTATGTTTGGCGTATACGATATCACTAATAGGATAATCTGCATTTGTAAGGTAATTTCAGGCAATGTCTGTGTGTAGACCTGAGGGATCTAAACGAATATAATATGAGTATAATGTAAAATTATGAATATAATATGAACTAACATTTTATATTCCTTTTTCTGAAGTGTGTTTGCATTCCTTAGGGTGGACTGCAAGTGCTCACTCCTCCCAACCCCTTTGAAGAAGAGAAAGGAGAGGCGCGCAGCACAAGTTCCACCGCTGGGACCACCCCCACTGAGCCCTTGCGCTCAGGACCTCCCCGCCCTGCCTTAGGTCTGCCGTTGGACCGTGCCACTCCTCTTCTTCATGCTCTTGCTGATGGGCGTCTTTCAGTAAGCAGGCTCAAAGAACAGCCTTGTACTATTTCTTTTATTGGGAAGCACTTGATTAAAATTTATGCTCGTAAACTATATGACATTTAAGGCTTAATGGTTTGCAGGATCCATTTGTACGAGCTTTCTTAAGTGCTGTCGATCATCACAGCAAACAACATCATCTTCTACCTCCTGGGGACTTTCCAGCTGACCATCCTGTAGAAGAAGTAGGCCGATTGCTCTTGGCTGTTCTTGGAAAACACCTAGGTTTAGGAGCTCAGATTGTGACCGTTGCAGATCAAGGTGAATACCTTACCACAATTATTGATTCATGGCTAATGAAATTTTTGTTTGGTGTTATGTAGAGTGTCTCAGAATAAATTTTAAAAATTTCAAGGCATGGGTGGGCAAAGAAGAAGAGATCTCAGAAAGTATTATCATATTTCTGTTGTTCATCCTGTCTCTCATACAATCATTGCTCCACCTTGCCATTTTCAGTACCATTTACTCATTAGATCGTCAATCAGGGAGGTGGATAATAATTTTGTAGCAGACTGTATGTCATTGGAACTTAAAGTGCATTTTCAAGACTGAAAGCATTGCTGTAGATTTGGGTGGTCATTAGTGTTATTGACTAGCAGCAAGTGCACTGTAATTTGGTTGGCCAGCTGCTGAGCTATTGTTCTATCACGTAAAATCATGTGTGTGCTATTTAGGGCTGTCGTCATTTACATCCCAGTCCCAACTGTTCACAAATTTGTGATTTTTCTTAGTTTGTGTCCATTTTTCTTTGGCAATACAAAGAATTATTCTTGGTTTTTCGGCTCACTGCAAACCTAACCCTGTGGATGAAAAATTGTCAAGAAATTTTTGTTGAGAAACAAAGCAAAATGTCACAGGTAACATTTTTGCATATCTTTGAGGAGAACCTCAAAGATATAATGATCCTATTTCTAATGATTGTGTATTTTGGGTCTTGAAATGACTCATACTGTATGTATAAGAGTATACACACAGGGTGAGTCATTTGACAGGGCAAAAAATACATCGTTGTCTTCTCCTCTGATATCAAATCCTCCTTGAAACACAAATGTTTCTTGTGTCATTTTGCTGGGAAACTCTTTGTTACAGCCTAGAAGTTACTTCCCAATTTCTCTTCTATAATGTGCACAAGGTTGTGCTTAACATGAGTTGAAGCACAAGGATATTTCAATCCATGTAAATATATTTCATGCCAAAATGAACTGCAGAATCTCACAATTCCATTTATTTTTTGCAGAACTTGAAACAGGTCATGCAAGATTACCAAGAGCTCTTGCAGAAGCTGTGCGAACAGTACATCAGATGAAATGGGGAGTGGTGAGAGCTCGTCAGGAACAAAGCCGGTCATATAAAGAGGTTGGTCTAATCTATAATTATCACTATTGTTTGTAACACGAGTATTCTTGAGCCTTAACAATAACAATATGGTGAAAATTGGTCATTATAACTTGTCATTAATCAGACAAATCATTAATGATTTTGGCCTGCAATAATTTTCATAAGAAATACCTTGATAACACAAAGAGCTTTAGTTTCCGTACATGACGTATCAGTTTTACATAATTGAATTTCATTCATAAGGTGCTTGGAATAAATTTTATAAAATAAATAATTTTTACAATTTTATAACGTAACATTTTACTCATCCAATATGCTGGAAGTGTTTAAAATTTTTATTATGTTAGTGTCATATGCACATTGGAGCTGTTAATACTCAATTTTTTCATTTTGTCCTTCAACTTTGCGTATCCTTTTTAGGTGTGTGCTCCTGCCCTTGACAAGTGCCGCTTTTTACTACATGAAGTTCGTGCAGCTTCAGGTACAGAAGTTCGAGCATTACGTGCACTTCGAGGCCACTTGCATGCTGCACCTCGATGGCGGCGTACAGCTCAGCGCTTAATGACTGAACTACGAGCTGGTCGACATAGCTTTTCTAGTAGTTCTCAGCAACAACTAGCACCTCAGCGATCAAAACCAGAGGACATTCTTAATGCTAGTATACAGGTATGGCTGGTTTACAATTTCAGTTTGAGGAAGTAATACTGATTTTGCTGGAACTTTGCATTAACAATAATAAATGAAGGGGAGAAAAAATTTAAGATGATTTTTTTAAAAATCTTTTCTTATATTATCCTTCAATTTGTCTCTGAGTGTTTTGCAAGGAAGAAATATTTTCATTATATTGTCTGATGGAAATAATGTAATGGTTGATTGGAAGATGCTAAGGCATCTCTAAATCACCTATCACACTGCTTAAGTAGAAGTGAAGCTAATGGCTTCAAGTTTTGTGTTAATTGATTTTTTATACTATTACAGTTTTACCTTAATGAGAGAATAATGACTTGTACAAGAAGAACACAATTTTATTTCTTTTGGAGTTAGTTTCTTGTTATGAATTTGAACCTTAACATAAAGCCATCAAATTAGCTTATAATATCGAAACATTTATTTAAAAAATTGGATTACAGAGTCAAGATGCAGAGGCAAAGAATAAAGGACTAGAACTTGAATTAGACCATTTGGAGAAACAAGAAAGTGATGTCCTTGAGACAGAGATACCTACTTTTACTCCTGTGCCTCCTTCACCATCTGCTCCATCAGTTCCTGCTTTTCCTGATGAGGATTCGAAAGAAATAGAGGGCCATGAGAAGGAAGCTGCGGATGTGGACACGTGGAGTGAAGGAGAAGATCGTGAGGGAAGTGATGGAGATGAACCTCCATCTTGTGCTCCCCCTCCTCCCCCTTCTGCTGAAAAGGACAAGGAACAACGGGAACCTAGGGAAAGAGAGAAGCAACCACAGACTGGAGGATCCAGTTCCTCTCAAACCCTGCAGTCACCTCGGACCTTAAAAATTACACGATCAATTGTGGACTTTGTGACTCAAGAGGAGGGAACTGATGTGGAAACTCTTCGGAAGGCCATGTATTGCCAGGTGGGTATTTTGAGGTAACATCTAGTAATTAGACCTTATTAACTTCTTGTGAATGTTAGATACTTATCTACTGCATATACAGTAAAACTTCACTAATACTAAAAAGAGTATAAGTGAGAAAAACACATAACTGAAATTGAATATAATGAGCAAAACACAAAAATCATTGTTTTTTAATTTGTGTCCTCCACTCTTGATTGCTGTTTGCTAAAATAAAGCCTTGGGTAAAACTTAATATTATCTCTTGCAGGTTGCGCATAACAGTATCTTCAGCCTAAAGTTATAATTGGTAGAGGTCAGGGAGACAGTTCTTTTTCAAGTGACCCCCAGCATGATTTTAAGAAATCCCCTACACTTCAGTTTGCCTTTGAATTCGGGTTTGCTCATGTCATAACAGATCTATCACCATAGGTTAGTTTTGAAAGTGTCAAGAACTCAAGCGTTTTCAAGTTAGCAAGGTTTGGAATTGTCACTTAAGTATCTTCATTTTCTCAATTTCAGTAGCATTTTGACCATTGTATTCCAATGTGTAATGGTGGCCAGATCAGTTGAAAGTTACATTAATTGTCAATTTGAGCTGTGGTGTGATTTTAGTTTTCCATGTGCATATGCATCTTCTCTGCTTGTGTGCAAACTTGTCTGTGCACATTTGTTAATACTGCCTCTGTCTTTAGCTATTGGTTGGTGACTTGCTATTGTTTTATGATCCTTTTGTGTCTTTGCTTCAAAGACACAATAAATGCCATAAAACTTGGATATTTCTTTACAGTCTCAGATGTCAGCAGTTTGGTGTAATTGGTTGAGCCTGTGCTGTGCTGTGCTGTAATTGCATTACTTAGGGCCTTACGACCTGTTTGTTCTGAGCATTATATGTGTATGATATGTCCCAATAATTGAGATAATAATTTTGATGAATGTACAGTCCACAATATGAGACAATTGAGTGTTTAAATTTTAGGCCTTTTCATTTGATGCAGGACATTTTGCATTATTAAAAACTAAGCTAGCTGTAATGATAATAATATTGTGAAGCTACCTACTGCTAATTTATCGTGAAATATTGATGTTTCCTTTCAGGTTCAGCGTGCTCGTATCCGTGTGCAAGGCTGTGAGATGATGTATGAACTTTTACGCCGAGAGCAGCTGCTACCATCAGTGCGCTATGCTTTGCTATCAGGTTGGCTTGGTCTCACACACAGGAAACAAGTTGTGAGGTGGGTGCTATCATAGGAATGTTGAACCAATTAACATAATCAGGTAGTCCCACCTACTGCAGGCCACCCCATAACTTCTAAATAGTTTGTGATATCAAAATGCAGTTTTCTCTCAACAATGCAGAATCATGGGGCAAGTACATGCGATAAAGAAATTGTCGTTATAAAGTTTAGAATTGAAAAAATTTAAATATCTTTTATTTTTAAATAGAACAATTTTTTTGTT